GTATTCATACTCCCTTCCTACATTTCACTCTGATTAAATTCAACTCACATTCATGCAGCTGAATGTGGCTACAGAAAACCATCACCCTGACTGGGCCCACTTTAAATTCATAGTCTTTTCCCTCAAGCCCCCCGTAATGCTGCCGACAGTCACACTGTGTTTTCCAAGACTGTTTACTCTGCTTCCTGGCACCTGATTGTCCTATACCTTTTCTTCAAACTTCTTAGACTCCCTAGCTTGTTCTCATTTTCCGTAACACCGAGAAAATTGAAGCAATCAGAAGAGAATTTCCAAACACTCACCTTCAGATGTGTCCAGCTGCCTGACTTGCAGCCCACATGGTTTGTGTGCTTCCATTTGCTCTCTTCCAGTGTGATTTCTCACTCTGTTCTTCTCGAAACCTTTTTCTTCTTTGCTTTCTGGGACATTGCATTCTCCTGACTTGCTTTTTGTTTTTCTAGATGCCGTTCCTCAGTATCCTTTAGTAGTTCTTTTGGGGTGTTTATCTCTATACCTTGTCTCTGTGTCTCTTGAGCATTCGAACCTCCAGAGGTCAGTCTTTGTGTCTTTTCTCTGTCTGTGTTCACTCGCTATGAATCTCTCCCAGTTCCATCTGCTGACATGTAAGAGCAAGTCTTCAAAATCCCATAGGTAGATGTCCACCCACCATTGCTGCGTGAATGTCTGCCAGACGTGTCAAATTTACTACTTTCAAAACTAAGCTCCGGATACTATCCCCACCCCTGCACCTAATCCTACCGTGGTCTTTCTTATCTCCATTTCATCCTTTCTGTTTCTCAAACCAAACACCTCATGTCATACTGGCCTCTTCTCTTTTTTACTCTCCATCCTGTTACCAAACCCAGTGGCCTCTTCCTTCCGAATGTGTCACTGAGTCAATAGCTGCTCAACATTCTCCTTACCAGCACTGGTGCAGGTCACCAGGAACCCCGCCTGGAGGACTGAAGAGGCCCCTAATTAGCTTCCCTTCTTTTTCCTTTAGTGCATTCAGTCTATTCTCAACACTGCAGCCAGACTCTGTTGAGTTACACCCTCCGTCTGTCCCCCATGTCTCTCTGAGTGAAAGCCAAACCTCTGAAGTCTCTTCCCTCTGAATTCCTTCTCCTATGTTAGACATCCTCTTCCTTCACTTGCCTTATGCCACATTCTCCTTCTTACTGTTTATTGACATTGACTTTGTCAGGTGGTTCTCACACAGTATGTTTGCACTTGTCTTCTTCTCTGCCACGAGGGTTCTTCCAGCAAGTTCCTGGAAGGAGCAGCTCTCTTGCTCTCCTCGTGCTAAACTCACTCCATGAGCCGCCCTCACGTACACAAGCACCTCCAGTCTCTGCTTTTAGTTCTTAGCAAATTTTTTTCCAAATTTTTTTTGATGGCCTTCTAACATACTGTGTGTGATGAACGATTGATAAAATGTGAATTTTTTTATTTTCCACAGAAATAATATTCAATTACAAAAAAACGATGTCAAAGAATGATGAATTTCAAACAATATCAAGAATATCAAAGAAGGATGAATTTCAGAGCTATATGATACTACACTTGAGCTCAAACATTTCTGGGTCTTAAATTTCTTCTTCACTTTTCCTTTAACTTTGTCTTCCCCTTAAGGCATAGTATCTTCTCATCAGCCTGTTCCTCTTTCCTAAATTTATGCAATGCATTTATATTTATGCAGTAATTAGGAATGATTAACATAGAAACAAATACAAATATGCTAATAAGTTTTAAGTCACATATTATCTACGACTCACAAACTACCACCATTAAGGATTAATTTGTCTGCTCTTAGCGGTCCCTCTGTTGAAATCACCTTCCTTATAGAGAACATTGGGCTGAGAGCCTTTTCTGGCATCTCATCCAGACATAATTTCTGCTTTGTTGCATGTAACGGCTGCCAAACTGGTTATTTGGTCACCTGTAATTTTTCTAGTGACCATATTTGCATGATTCTTAAGAAAAGGCACTAGTCTAGTCTCTTTAATGGGCAGATGTTTTATTAATTTAGTTTATTTCCTAATTTTATATGTTAGTTCTTGTATGTTTATTTATTTAGCTTTACAAAAAAAATATAACGTCTTCCTAGATTGATCATTGACAAAGCATTACCTGCTATCTTCTGTTGATCTTATCAGGAATTAAAGCTAAAGCTGTTTGGGGCAGTATCAGTGATGATGTATTTAGATTATCCTCAAATTTAAAAGTGAGATTCTGGCTCGGCGCCTGTGGCTCAAGTGGCTAAGGTGCCAGCCACATACACCAAAGGTGGTGGGTTCGAATCCAGCCCGGACCAGCCAAACAACAATGACGGCTGCAACCAAAAAATGGCTAGGTGTTGTGGCAGGTGCCTGTGGTCCCAGCTACTTGGGAGGCTGAGGCAGGAGACTCGCTTGAGCCCAGGAGTTGGAGGTTGCTGTGAGCTGTG